GTGTAGTTTGCTTCATCTCTAAAGAGATGCTGCTCTTTAATATTGTTTATTTACTGTCTTAGTTGTGCGTGGTTTTTGTCGCGGCAAGATGGACAGAAAACACGTTAAAAGGATGTTAAATAGACAAACAGTCTTGCGGGTATGGTCGTAAAATCATTTATTAATGGGCAACATGGAACAGAAAACGATCAAGAAGTCTGTCAGATGTGGCCGCCCGAGTGAGGGCGGAAAAGAAATGTTATACCTTCAGCTATCATCATGTGATAATGAACAGCCAATCACAACCTGCCTCATGTCCCTAACAGCCAATGACAAGCTCTAAATCCCAAGGTGACCATATCGGTYCGTGGAAAGAGGCCATCTTGATGCTGTAGCTTCTGACGTCCGGAGCCACAGATTAAAGAAACAGTCATAAGATATTACAAGATACGAATAGTGGACAGTGTCAAGGTGATAGAAATAATTAGGCCACAACAATCCCTCCTCTTGAGTAATCAATACTCAATACCAGAAATGGATAAGGAATAATTATTAAATGTCTGCTCCACAAATGCAAAAAAAAACCATCAAGTACAAGGTAATAGTGCAAATCAAAATGACGACCATAAAAACATTCATTCAGATAAAGCCAAAAATACAACAGGAATAAAGCTTAAAGACAAATAGAGCATCATTACACATCAGGAAAAAAAATCGATGAAGATCAAAAACATGTCAAAATTTAAAAAACTTAAAAGTCCAAAAGTAGACAAGGTATCACAACACAAGTTCTGCCTCCCGGCGAATTTGATTGCGTGAGCCGATGTTCCATCAGAATCTTATCTTGGATACTGTGCTAATTAAATAACAAGTTGTCAATAAATGAACCTTAAGTAAAGCAAATTAGGACAAGGCAGATCAAATAAGATGCCAACAGGCGTTTACTTCTAAGTTAACAGATTTAGACAAGTTAAACAACAATTTAAAAATAGAGGTCAAAACCTTCAATGAACCTGAGAATAATTGAAG